AACCATACATCAATGGAAAGCTCATTTATTCAGCTTTCAGATGATTTTTTTTTAAAAATGGACCCTTATGACTTACCTGAATTAAATGAAACAAGAATGCTGAAACTGTGAACAATTGATTATACTGCATGACAAAGATCGTATCAGTCTGTATATTAAGTAATATTAAAATGATTTTATTTTTATTGATTTGATTATTAAAATCAGTGTGAGGCTCCGCCCACGCTCTCTTCTGATTGGCTGTGATTTGTGATTGGCACGGGATCTCAGCACAGACGCTCAGGTGTGGTTGTGTGTGAGAGAAACACTCACATTGATGAGGTTCTCCTGCAGCTTGATGTGAAGGCGGTAGCTGGTTAAGGCAATGACAGACTCCTCTGCTCTCCCGACACGCTCCACACACTCGCCCTGCAGCAGCGGGAACGGGACCTGCGTCACACACACTTTACTGTGAAACCAGCTTTATTTTACAATTTTACCTTTTCTGGATTCTGTTTTAATGGTTAAATAAAATTCATCAAATATTAACGCAAACAAAAACAATTCTAAAATCATGAAGCAAAAATTACATTTTTAGGGACCTATGAAATCCATTAGATTTTTTTTTACCAAATTCTGTTTTGCTAATGTATATGTATATACACAAACATGACGGTTCGGTACGTACCTCGGTTTTGACGTCACGGTTCGGTACGGTTTCGATACGATTTTTTTTTTATTAAACTGAACAAATCGCTCTTAAAGGTTACAGTTAACAACAGAGCCCAAACTTAAATTTAATTACTATTTGTGACCCTAGCACAAAACCAGTCATAAGGGTCAATTTTTCCAAATTGAGATTTATACATCAGCTGAAAGCTGAATAAATCAGCTTCCCATAAATAATAATGGTAATCTTGTGATTGTCAATTTCATTTCTTATACATTTATACATTAATGAATAAATCAGCTTCCCATAAATAATAATGGTAATCTTGTGATTGCATAAAACTTTAACTTTAACATCAGGATTAATTAATCTTTTAAAATGGAACCAAATGAAATTTGAACAATCATTTTTTTGGGGGGGGCCAAACAAAGTGCTACATGACAGAAGTTTATGGTTTTAAAAAAAGCTGTTATATTGTGTGATATTCCTTACAAATAATATTTTTATTATTAGTTTTACATTACACACAAAATAAAACTTCTCAAAGAAGTGCCTAGTGAACAATGAAATCATACTGCAACTCTCAGAATTAAAAGCAACACCATCATCAGAAGTAGGACAGATGTATTATTATTATTATTATTATTATTCCTAAAGCGATGTGATACCTGCTCGTCCTCCGGTACGGGGCTCCCCCGCGCCTCCAAACTCTGCTGCCCCTCTTCAACCTTCAAAACACAAGCGTGGCATCAGCGGTGATGTGAGAGCTGTATCAGCTCGTGTAAAGCAGGGTTCGTGGTCTTACCATGACCCCGGGACGAGCGAGCAGAGAGGATCTCAGTCCCACAGACGGCAAACGCACCGACCGACCTGAGAGACGCGTGATTAACATTCACTACAAGACACCAAATCACTGAATATAATCATAGCTGCACTCACTTCAACACACTTTACCATGCTTCAATCCATTAAGGTTCTAGGTTTATTCACATTTTTTTAATAATGTGGCCGATGCTATTAAAAACAGAACTGAACTGCTGATATCCATTGACATAATCAATGAAACACTTCATAATCAATGAGACGTTTGGCTGTTGCTGAATCATGCCGATCGTTTCGAAGCAGATCAATACAGTAAGACTCAAGCTATTGATCGTATGGATTAACCTTATACAGGCACTCCAGTGATTCAACACTAGATGAGAAAAACAGAAGACTATTATTATGTTTTGCATTAAAAAATGAGATTATTTTACTACCATTAAGATTATTTTCATGGCAATTAATCAAATTCACGTGTAAATTCTCATTACTGTAAAACAGAGTATACTAACTAAAACTAAAATGTGACCCTGGAGCACAAAACCAGTCATAAGGGTAAATTTTGTGAAATTGAGATCTGAAAGCTGAATAAATAATCTTTCCATTTATTTATGGTTTGTTAGGATCAGACAATATTTGGCTGAGATACAACTATTTGAAAATCTGGAATCTGAGGGTGCAAAAAAATCTAAATATTGAGAAAATCATCTTTAAAGTTGTTCAGATGAAGTTCTTAGCAATGCATATTACTAATCAAAAATTAAGTTTTGTTATATTTACGGTAGGACAACAAAATAAATAAATAAAAAAGATAAACTCAAATATAAATATAAAAATGTAAACTCAAAATATTAATAAAAACTATAATAGCATCTAAATATCTAAATAATAACACAGTTACATAAAATTAAATAATACACAATTGTGTTCTATTTAAATCAGCACAAAGAAATGAATTTAAAACATTTTTACTTTACAATTTAAATTGGCAATTAATCAAATTCACGTGTAAATTTTCATTACTGTAAAACAGAGTATACTAAAACTAAAATGTGACCCTGGAGCACAAAACCAGTCATAAGGGTCAATTTTGTGAAATTGAGATCTGAAAGCTGAATAAATAATCTTTCCATTTATTTATGGTTTGTTAGGATCAGACAATATTTGGCTGAGATACAACTATTTGAAAATCTGGAATCTGAGGGTGCAAAAAAATCTAAATATTGAGAAAATCATCTTTAAAGTTGTCCAAATGAAGTTCTTAGCAATGCATATTACTAATCAAAAATTAAGTTTTGTTATATTTACGGTAGGACAACAAAATAAATAAATAAAAAAGATAAACTCAAATATAAATATAAAAATGTAAACTCAAAATATTAATAAAAACTATAATAGCATCTAAATGATACTAAAATAACACGGTTACATAAAATTAAATAATACACAATTGTGTTCTATTTAAATCGGCACAAAGAAATGAATTTAAAACATTTTTACTTTACAATTTAAATATATAATTTCATAATCAAAATATTAATATTTTTTTCTCTCTCTTCTCTGACCTCGACAGACTTCATGAGATCTACAAAGCACCCGACACAGAGATTTATGAATGATTTTGCAGGCGTCATGTAAGATCTCGCCGATCACAGAGACTTAATAACTGCAATATCTCTTATCTTATCTTTATAAAACAAATAAAGCGAAAATGTGTGATGGGATTTTCATTAATGCAATTCATATGAAATATAACTGCATGAAAGCATTAGTTTCCCATTCCAAACAACCACAAAATCCCATCATATGTCTCATCAATGTCAGCACAAGACACAGTGTTCATTTTAATTTCACTGTGTGTTGATGCATCAGAAAACAATAAATATGAATCCTCAACTATGCAGAAAGAGCAAGTTAACTCAATGAACCGCAAATCTTCGTCTGTAACACACATGCACTAACATGCACACATTCCATGCATGGCATTTCTGACACACGATGTTAAAGTGAAGGTCTACAGACCTGGTTCTGGATCTGGTTCTGGTTCTGGTTCTGGATCTGGATCGGTCTCTCTGTGTGTCGAGAAGACGCTCAAAGAAAGAAAGAAAGTCTGCAAGAGAAGAGAGGTTAAAAAGGACAGAGTTAAACATTAAAAACCAAATTAAGCAAGCATGCAACATAATAAGATCATGTGACAATGAAGCACACTTCAGTTTCATTTATCGTTGCATCACAGACTACTTGAGGAAAAAACAGGAACAGGGCTCTACGGTGCGACCAACTACTGCGTGCGACTATGAAATAATATTTAGGAGCACCTGTGC